ACTTACCAGTCATCATTATTGAAAACGATGAAGCCTTTATTACCACGGCCAAAAGCTACTTGATTGCTGCCATTGTCCCACCAGTTGGAGAAAGGCTGACCATCCACCACATTACGGAAGATAACCATGTTCCTGAAAATGCAAGGAATGGCTGTCACTGTGGCTGCAAGGGCTCTAAAGCCACGAGGAACATGAAGCAAAAGCAACTGCTTTCACTTTTTTTTTCTCCACAGTGTCCTACTTTATTTGACGCCAGCGATGTTCGCAAACCCAGTCGTTGCCACAGGTAGTGTCTGCATTGATTGTAACAGGCTTTGTTGACCCATCCGAGTGACTTGGTGGTCCAGTCCAGTCATTGATGTCCTGTAATTGAAAAGAGAAGTTTAAAACTTCTTACTGAAAATGCAGAGAGCCTATCTGTAGAGAAAAGCTAGATGGAGCATCAAATTTCCACCTGCTAGATCCAACACGGGACAGAGAAATCTCTTAACAAATTTAAATGCACTGGACTGCTTCTCTGGACCTTGTTGGGATCCTTATTCACCGTGATTTTCTCTTCAGCATTACAAGCTTACCCGTCCATCTACAAAATATCTTGGCCAGCGAAAACTCGACATCACACGTGTGAACCCATACGGATGAGCAAGCATGAAACCAACTGCCATTTTGTAAGGCCTGTTCGGTAGACAAAAAAAGGAATGAGACGTGGCAAGAGAAACTGTGCCAGGGAACCGATAGACAAACAAGCAAAAGGAAGAAGCGTCACCCAGACAAGAGAAATCCCTTACCTGGGGTCCCAGAAGGTCAGAATGGAAGCTCCACCGGCCCCGTGCCCCCGCTGGTTGTCGTGATTGTCCACAAAGACCAGGGCTCTGTCGGAAGGCACAAAGCCCCAGCCTTCTCCCCAGTTCCTAGCCAAGAACACAAAGATTTGAAGCTGCCCTGTCAACTGGCACATCCAGCACATCCCAAAAAAGTCACAGCATCTTCATCCTTACTTTAAGTAGGCCATCTTTTCTCCGTTCCACTTGCGGATCACTGTCCCCAGTTTTGCACCATATTTGAATTCTGTCACTCGCCCGTTTCCAAGGTAGTCACTGCCTTTGATCGGCTCTCCGCCCAAGTCAATTACCTGGCAGAG